TTTTTCTCTATTGCAATACTTACTAGTTTATTGCCGAATACTTTAAAATTTTCTATTATGAAAGCATCAAAATATTGAATCGATTTGCTTTTTCTGATTCTCCATCACATGTTGCAATAATTACTGAATTCATTTTTCTCTATTGCAATACTTACTAGTTTATTGCCGAATACTTTAAAATTTTCTGTTATGAAAGCATCAAAATATTGAATCGATTTGCTTTTTCTGATTCTCCATCACATGTTGCAATAATTACTGAATTCATTTTTCTCTATTGCAATACTTACTAGTTTATTGCCGAATACTTTAAAATTTTCTGTTATGAAAGCATCAAAATATTGAATCGATTTGCTTTTTTCTGATTCTCCCATCACATGTTGCAATAATTACTGAATTCATTTTTCTCTATTGCAATACTTACTAGTTTATTGCCGAATATTTTAAAATTTTCTGTTATGAAAGCATCAAAATATTGAATCGATTTGCTTTTTCTGATTCTCCATCACATGTTGCAATAATTACTGAATTCATTTTTCTATTGCAATACTTACTAGTTTATTGCCGAATACTTTAAAATTTTCTGTTATGAAAGCATCAAAATATTGAATCGATTTGCTTTTTCTGATTCTCCATCACATGTTGCAATAATTACTGAATTCATTTTTCTCTATTGCAATACTTACTAGTTTATTGCCGAATACTTTAAAATTTTCTGTTATGAAAGCATCAAAATATTGAATCGATTTGCTTTTTCTGATTCTCCATCACATGTTGCAATAATTACTGAATTCATTTTTCTCTATTGCAATACTTACTAGTTTATTGCCGAATACTTTAAAATTTTCTGTTATGAAAGCATCAAAATATTGAATCGATTTGCTTTTTCTGATTCTCTACATCACATGTTGCAATAATTACTGAATTCATTTTCTCTATTGCAATACTTACTAGTTTATTGCCTAATACTTTAAAATTTTCTGTTATGAAAGCATCAAAATATTGAATCGATTTGTTTTTTCTGATTCTCCATCACATGTTGCAATAATTACTGAATTCATTTTTCTCTATTGCAATACTTACTAGTTTATTGCCGAATACTTTAAAATTTTCTGTTATGAAAGCATCAAAATATTGAATCGATTTGCTTTTTCTGATTCTCCGTCACATGTTGCAATAATTACTGAATTCATTTTTCTCTATTGCAATACTTACTAGTTTATTGCCGAATACTTTAAAATTTTCTGTTATGAAAGCATCAAAATATTGAATCGATTTGCTTTTTCTGATTCTCCATCACATGTTGCAATAATTACTGAATTCATTTTTCTCTATTGCAATACTTACTAGTTTATTGCCGAATACTTTAAAATTTTCTATTATGAAAGCATCAAAATATTGAATCGATTTGCTTTTTCTGATTCTCCGTCACATGTTGCAATAATTACTGAATTCATTTTTCTCATTGCAATACTTACTAGTTTATTGCCGAATACTTTAAAATTTTCTGTTATGAAAGCATCAAAATATTGAATCGATTTGCTTTTTCTGATTCTCCATCACATGTTGCAATAATTACTGAATTTTTTTTTCTATTGCAATACTTACTAGTTTATTGCCGAATACTTTAAAATTTTCTGTTATGAAAGCATCAAAATATTGAATCGATTTGCTTTTTCTGATTCTCCGTCACATGTTGCAATAATTACTGAATTCATTTTTTCTATTGCAATACTTACTAGTTTATTGCCGAATACTTTAAAATTTTCTGTTATGAAAGCATCAAAATAATGAATCGATTTGCTTTTTCTGATTCTCCATCACATGTTGCAATAATTACTGAATTCATTTTTCTCTATTGCAATACTTACTAGTTTATTGCCGAATACTTTAAAATTTTCTGTTATGAAAGCATCAAAATATTGAATCGATTTGCTTTTTCTGATTCTCCGTCACATGTTGCAATAATTACTGAATTCATTTTCTTCTATTGCAATACTTACTAGTTTATTGCCGAATATTTTAAAATTTTCTGTTATGAAAGCATCAAAATATTGAATCGATTTGCTTTTTTCTGATTCTCTATCACATGTTGCAATAATTACTGAATTCATTTTTCTATTGCAATACTTACTAGTTTATTGCCGAATACTTTAAAATTTTCTGTTATGAAAGCATCAAAATATTGAATCGATTTGCTTTTTCTGATTCTCCGTCACATGTTGCAATAATTACTGAATTCATTTTTCTCTATTGCAATACTTACTAGTTTATTGCCGAATACTTTAAAATTTTCTGTTATGAAAGCATCAAAATATTGAATCGATTTGCTTTTTCTGATTCTCCATCACATGTTGCAATAATTACTGAATTCATTTTTCTCTATTGCAATACTTACTAGTTTATTGCCGAATACTTTAAAATTTTCTGTTATGAAAGCATCAAAATATTGAATCGATTTGCTTTTTCTGATTCTATATCACATGTTGCAATAATTACTGAATTCATTTTCTCTATTGCAATACTTACTAGTTTATTGCCGAATTATTTTTAAAATTTTCTGTTATGAAAGCATCAAAATATTGAATCGATTTGCTTTTTCTGATTCTCCATCACATGTTGCAATAATTACTGAATTCATTTTTTCTCTATTGCAATACTTACTAGTTTATTGCCGAATACTTTTAAAATTTTCTATTATGAAAGCATCAAAATATTGAATCGATTTGCTTTTTCTGATTCTATATCACATGTTGCAATAATTACTGAATTCATTTTTCTCTATTGCAATACTTACTAGTTTATTGCCGAATACTTTAAAATTTTCTGTTATGAAAGCATCACAATATTGAATCGATTTGCTTTTTCTGATTCTCCATCACATGTTGCAATAATTACTGAATTCATTTTTCTCTATTGCAATACTTACTAGTTTATTGCCGAATTCTTTTAAAATTTTCTGTTATGAAAGCATCAAAATATTGAATCGATTTGCTTTTTCTGATTCTCCGTCACATGTTGCAATAATTACTGAATTCATTTTTCTCTATTGCAATACTTACTAGTTTATTGCCGAATACTTTAAAATTTTCTGTTATGAAAGCATCAAAATATTGAATCGATTTGTTTTTTCTGATTCTCTATCACATGTTGCAATAATTACTGAATTCATTTTTCTCTATTGCAATACTTACTAGTTTATTGCCGAATACTTTAAAATTTTCTGTTATGAAAGCATCAAAATATTGAATCGATTTGCTTTTTCTGATTCTCCATCACATGTTGCAATAATTACTGAATTCATTTTTCTCTATTGCAATACTTACTAGTTTATTGCCGAATACTTTAAAATTTTCTGTTATGAAAGCATAAAAATATTGAATCGATTTGCTTTTTCTGATTCTCCATCACATGTTGCAATAATTACTGAATTCATTTTTCTCTATTGCAATACTTACTAGTTTATTGCCGAATACTTTAAAATTTTCTGTTATGAAAGCATCAAAATATTGAATCGATTTGCTTTTTCTGATTCTATATCACATGTTGCAATAATTACTGAATTCATTTTTCTCTATTGCAATACTTACTAGTTTATTGACGAATACTTTAAAATTTTCTGTTATGAAAGCATCAAAATATTGAATCGATTTGCTTTTTCTGATTCTCCGTCACATGTTGCAATAATTACTGAATTCATTTTTCTCTATTGCAATACTTACTAGTTTATTGCCGAATACTTTAAAATTTTCTGTTATGAAAGCATCAAAATATTGAATCGATTTGCTTTTTCTGATTCTATATCACATGTTGCAATAATTACTGTATTCATTTTTCTCTATTGCAATACTTACTAGTTTATTGCTTAATTTTTTAAAATTTTCTATTATGAAAGCATCAAAATAATGAATCGATTTGCTTTTTCTGATTCTATATCACATGTTGCAATAATTACTGAATTCATTTTTCTCTATTGCAATACTTACTAGTTTATTGCCGAATACTTTAAAATTTTCTGTTATGAAAGCATCAAAATATTGAATCGATTTGCTTTTTCTTATTCTATATCACATGTTGCAATAATTACTGAATTCATTTTTCTCTATTGCAATACTTACTAGTTTATTGCCGAATACTTTTAAAATTTTCTGTTATGAAAGCATCAAAATATTGAATCGATTTGCTTTTTTCTGATTCTATATCACTTGTTGCAATAATTACTGAATTCATTTTTCTCTATTGCAATACTTACTAGTTTATTGCCGAATACTTTAAAATTTTCTGTTATGAAAAGCATCAAAATATTGAATCGATTTGCTTTTTCTTATTCTATATCACATGTTGCAATAATTACTGATTTCATTTTTCTCTATTGCAATACTTACTAGTTTATTGCTTATATTTTTAAAATTTTCTGTTATGAAAGCATCAAAATAATGAATCGATTTTCTTTTTCTGATTCTCCATCACATGTTGCAATAATTACTGAATTCATTTTTCTCTATTGCAATACTCACTAGATTATTGCCGAATACTTTAAAAATTTTCTGTTATGAAAGCATCAAAATATTGAATCGATTTGCTTTTTCTTATTCTATATCACATGTTGCAATAATTACTGAATTCATTTTTCTCTATTGCAATACTTACTAGTTTATTGCCGAATACTTTAAAATTTTCTGTTATGAAAGCATCAAAATATTGAATCGCTTCGCTTTTTCTGATTCTATATCACATGTTGCAATAATTACTGAATTCATTTTTCTCTATTGCAATACTTACTAGTTTATTGCTTAATTTTTTAAAATTTTCATTATCAAAGCATGCGTCAACAAATTTACTATATTATACAGTAGTATAGCAGTAAATAAATAAATATAGTCAGTCAGTCAGCCTCATGCGGACCTGACTATTCAAATCAAAAAGATGTACTCTGCAAAGAAAAAATCAACATTAATAGCCTTTTAATGTTTTTATTTACTTTTGCAAAATTCACTTACCTGCTAGTCATCTTGCAATTAATGCAATTCTGCTATTTCCAGTTTTGCGCCCCTCTACACTTTGTATGGCAGCAGCTCTATATATAAAAAGATAAAAATTAATATTAATTATTAATATCTTTAATTTTTACTTTTATAATTATTAATTTCTATTTTGCAAAATTTACTTACCTGCTAGTCAGCTTGCAGTTAATGCAATTTCACTATCTTCAGTATTTGCGCCCCTCTGCATTTTGTATAATTGCAGCTATATATTGGGTAGTCTAAAAAGTCTTTTCGTATTTGTAATGAAACTTCAAATCATATTTTTAAATATTTATAATAAACTTTATTAAATCAAATATGCACCATTTTGGTCGACCACCTTTTGCCATTTTTCCACTAGAGACATAATTCCATTCGTGTAAAACTTTCGTGGTTTCTCTTTGAAAAACTGCTTCAAGTGATTTTCACAGGCTTCTCTTGAAGCCAACTTTACTCCGTTAAGGGAGTTCTGCATTGACCGAAATAAATGGTAGTCCGAAGGTGCAAGGTCAGGGCTATATGGTGGATGCATTAAAACTTCCCAGCCAAGCTCTCTCAGTGTTTGCCGGGTCATCAAAGATGTGTGTGGTCTGGCGTTGTCCTGATGGAATACGATGCCCTTTCTGTTGATCAGTTCTGGCCGTTTTTTTTCGATTGCTTGCTTCAATCTCATCAGTTGTCCACAGTAAAGTGTCGAATCAATCGTTTGACCAGGCTGAAGCAGCTCATAGTGGATTATTCCTTTCCAATCCCACCAAACACACAGCATTACCTTTCGAGCCGTCAATCCTGGCTTTGCGACCATTTGTTGAGCTTCACCACTCTTGCACCATGATCTTTTTCGCACATTATTGTCGTATTTGATCCATTTTTCGTCTCCTGTTACCATTCTCTTCAGAAATGGTTCGATTTCATTTCGTTTCAGCAAAGAATCGCAAATGTTAATTCTGTCCAATAAATTTTTCACAGACAATTCATGTGGTATCCATACATCGAGCTTTTTTTGTAGCCAGCCTTTTCTAAATGGTTCAGAACCGTTTGATGATGAATGTTTAGTTCATTTGCGATGTCATGGCTGCTTATGTGACGGTCTTGGTCAATCCTTTCCATAATTTCATCGACTTTTTCAAAGATTGGTCGACCAGAGCGAGGTGCATCTTTCACATCGAAATTTCCTGAACGGAAGCGTGCGAACCATTGTTGTGCTACACGAACTGATAGAGCATCGTCACCGTAAACATCACAAATTTCATTAGTGGCTTGCGTGGCATTCTTCCCTTTTTTATACAAAAATTTCAAAATATAGCGAATTTCTTCTTTATTTTCACTCATTTTTGAACAGCTGTAACTTTTTTCAAATTCTTTGAATTACATTTTTTTTTTTTGGCAATCGAAGCTTAAAGTGCTACCAATCGAACACCACAATGTGTACACAATGTGATTGGTAGCACTGGAGATATACGACGCCAACGACATCTATTGGCAAAATACGAAAAAACTTTTTAGACTACCCAATATATGCAAAGATAATAATTAATTAATATTAATTATTAATATCATTAATACCACTAATATAATTATTAATATTTAAACTTACCAATTAGCAGCATCAAATTTGCATTTAATGCAATTTTCAGTTAGCTGTTTTTGTTTTGTTTTGTTTTGATTATGCACTCCGATAGGCACTAAGCCAGGGATGCATCGTCACTTACTCAATTGTACTTGCGATGTTTCGAACGAATATTAATGAAATCAAAATTGCTAAAATGAATTGAAAAACTATTTTAAATACAAATTATTAAATTTTTTATGAATATTAAACTATATTAAATTAATTCAAAAATAATTATTATATAGTTGCAATCAAAATCAAACATATGTTTACACATACGATATATTGCAGCAAATATCGCTATGCATAAACATTGTAAATATGTAAACTTAACTAAATAATAATTAAAACTAGTATATAATTAATTAATAACATGAACTTTAGAACTTTAATATCAATAATTTTTATCAATTGTTAATTCTTATTGTTCATAGTCTTTGACTTGCCATATATGTAGTTACTCTCGATAACTCACCGATAACTATGTAACAACTTACTACTGCACAAACGTTGTATGGTGACAGTTGTGCATATTCTTTTAGCTATTGCAACTCAAATGTAAAATGAAAAGAAAATAATTATCTATATTAATTATCATTAATTTTCTGTAATTTAAACTATTTTTAGCTTATGCCCATATTGGAGAAAATGACCAGACTTTGTCTCGATTTTTCTCCATAATTCCAATTAGCTACTCTCAGTGCTAATTTCTCAGTGCATCTTGCAGATGCTTATTAATGGAAAAAGAAAATTGAATTATATTAATTAATGCTATCTATTACTATTGTAAAACTTATATCTTAGTTATCATATTAGTCTATTATCAGCTACTCAAGCACTTTATTGTCATTTTGTATTATCTTTAAATTGCTCTTTTTATCTGTATTTTGTAACATTAAGCTGCACTGTTATTCTTGTGCACTTATGGCCATTTAAATTGAATCATTTTATGAAAAGTTTTGGTAAATATAGACCTTCTGTATATTTCTAAGTATCTTATAGGCGCTACTCATATTCTTAAGAAATGCTATTGTAAAGTATTGTTTGAATAAAAATGTATCTCCGTACTATCTTCCCCTCGCCATGCAGCTGCTGGTCAGCTGATCATGTATGAGTAGGGAAGAAGCGGAGATCACAAATGTGTGTTCTGCCTAGACATACAAACAGAAAAATGCTACAAGACTCGATGTACATCAGGTACATGAATGCCATCACAACTTGTGGAACTTTTGATCAGAGTTTACTCGCTAAATAAAAGGCATAGCCTTATGAAACGTGTGATTAACTGGCTCAACTCTGCTAGTGAATGTAACAAAACCAATACTTGAACTAGGGCAGCTGCATGACAAAAGCTGAATGCTACGAGACTCTGCATGACAAAAGCTGAATGCTACAAGACTCGATGTACACATCAGGTACATGAATGCCATCACAACTTGTGGAAATTTTGATCAGAGTTTACTCGCTAAATAAAAGGCATAGCCTTATGAAACGTGTGATTAACTGGCTCAACTCTGCTAGTGAATGTAACAAAACCAATACTTGAACTAGGGCAGCTGCATGACAAAAGCTGAATGCTACGAGACTCTGCATGACAAAAGCTGAATGCTACAAGACTCGATGTACACATCAGGTACATGAATGCCATCACAACTTGTGGAAATTTTGATCAGAGTTTACTCGCTAAATAAAAGGCATAGCCTTATGAAACGTGTGATTAACTGGCTCAACTCTGCTAGTGAATGTAACAAAACCAATACTTGAACTAGGGCAGCTGCATGACAAAAGCTGAATGCTACGAGACTCTGCATGACAAAAGCTGAATGCTACAAGACTCGATGTACATCAGGTACATCAATGCCATCACAACTTGTGGAAACTTTTGATCAGAGTTTACTCGCTAAATAAAAGGCATAGCCTTATGAAACGTATGATTAACTGGCTCAACTCTGCTAGTGAATGTAACAAAACCAATACTTGAATTAGGGCAGCTGCATGACAAAAGCTGAATGCTACGAGACTCTGCATGACAAAAGCTGAATGCTACAAGACTCGATGTACATCAGGTACATCAATGCCGTCACAACTTGTGGAAACTTTGATCAGAGTTTACTCGCTAAATAAAAGGCATAGCCTTATGAAACGTATGATTAACTGGCTCAACTCTGCTAGTGAATGTAACAAAACCAATACTTGAATTAGGGCAGCTGCATGACAAAAGCTGAATGCTACGAGACTCTGCATGACAAAAGCTGAATGCTACAAGACTCGATGTACATCAGGTACATCAATGCCGTCACAACTTGTGGAAACTTTGATCAGAGTTTACTCGCTAAATAAAAGGCATAGCCTTATGAAACGTATGATTAACTGGCTCAACTCTGCTAGTGAATGTAACAAAACCAATACTTGAATTAGGGCAGCTGCATGACAAAAGCTGAATGCTACGAGACTCTGCATGACAAAAGCTGAATGCTACAAGACTCGATGTACATCAGGTACATCAATGCCGTCACAACTTGTGGAAACTTTGATCAGAGTTTACTCGCTAAATAAAAGGCATAGCCTTATGAAACGTATGATTAACTGGCTCAACTCTGCTAGTGAATGTAACAAAACCAATACTTGAATTAGGGCAGCTGCATGACAAAAGCTGAATGCTACGAGACTGCATGACAAAAGCTGAATGCTACAAGACTCGATGTACATCAGGTACATCAATGCCGTCACAACTTGTGGAAACTTTGATCAGAGTTTACTCGCTAAATAAAAGGCATGGCCTTATGAAACGTATGATTAACTGGCTCAACTCTGCTAGTGAATGTAACAAAACCAATATTTGAATTATGGCAGCTGCATGACAAAAGCTGAATGCTACGAGACTGCATGACAAAAGCTGAATGCTACAAGACTCGATGTACATCAGGTACATCAATGCCGTCACAACTTGTGGAAACTTTGATCAGAGTTTACTCGCTAAATAAAAGGCATGGCCTTATGAAACGTATGATTAACTGGCTCAACTCTGCTAGTGAATGTAACAAAACCAATACTTGAATTAGGGCAGCTGCATGACAAAAGCTGAATGCTACGAGACACTGCATGACAAAAGCTGAATGCTACAAGACTCGATGTACATCAGGTACATCAATGCCGTCACAACTTGTGGAAACTTTGATCAGAGTTTACTCGCTAAATAAAAGGCATAGCCTTATGAAACGTATGATTAACTGGCTCAACTCTGCTAGTGAATGTAACAAAACCAATACTTGAATTAGGGCAGCTGCATGACAAAAGCTGAATGCTACGAGACTCTGCATGACAAAAGCTGAATGCTACAAGACTCGATGTACATCAGGTACATCAATGCCGTCACAACTTGTGGAAACTTTGATCAGAGTTTACTCGCTAAATAAAAGGCATGGCCTTATGAAACGTATGATTAACTGGCTCAACTCTGCTAGTGAATGTAACAAAACCAATATTTGAATTATGGCAGCTGCATGACAAAAGCTGAATGCTACGAGACTGCATGACAAAAGCTGAATGCTACAAGACTCGATGTACATCAGGTACATCAATGCCGTCACAACTTGTGGAAACTTTGATCAGAGTTTACTCGCTAAATAAAAGGCATAGCCTTATGAAACGTATGATTAACTGGCTCAACTCTGCTAGTGAATGTAACAAAACCAATACTTGAATTAGGGCAGCTGCATGACAAAAGCTGAATGCTACGAGACTGCATGACAAAAGCTGAATGCTACAAGACTCGATGTACATCAGGTACATCAATGCCGTCACAACTTGTGGAAACTTTGATCAGAGTTTACTCGCTAAATAAAAGGCATGGCCTTATGAAACGTATGATTAACTGGCTCAACTCTGCTAGTGAATGTAACAAAACCAATACTTGAATTAGGGCAGCTGCATGGACAAAAGCTGAATGCTACGAGACTCTGCATGACAAAAGCTGAATGCTACAAGACTCGATGTACATCAGGTACATCAATGCCGTCACAACTTGTGGAAACTTTGATCAGAGTTTACTCGCTAAATAAAAGGCATAGCCTTATGAAACGTATGATTAACTGGCTCAACTCTGCTAGTGAATGTAACAAAACCAATACTTGAATTAGGGCAGCTGCATGACAAAAGCTGAATGCTACGAGACTGCATGACAAAAGCTGAATGCTACAAGACTCGATGTACATCAGGTAATCCAATGCCGTCACAACTTGTGGAAACTTTGATCAGAGTTTACTCGCTAAATAAAAGGCATGGCCTTATGAAACGTATGATTAACTGGCTCAACTCTGCTAGTGAATGTAACAAAACCAATATTTGAATTAGGGCAGCTGCATGGACAAAAGCTGAATGCTACGAGACTGCATGACAAAAGCTGAATGCTACAAGACTCGATGTACATCAGGTACATCAATGCCGTCACAACTTGTGGAAACTTTGATCAGAGTTTACTCGCTAAATAAAAGGCATAGCCTTATGAAACGTATGATTAACTGGCTCAACTCTGCTAGTGAATGTAACAAAACCAATACTTGAATTAGGGCAGCTGCATGGACAAAAAGCTGAATGCTACGAGACTCTGCATGACAAAAGCTGAATGCTACAAGACTCGATGTACATCAGGTACATCAATGCCGTCACAACTTGTGGAAACTTTGATCAGAGTTTACTCGCTAAATAAAAGGCATAGCCTTATGAAACGTATGATTAACTGGCTCTACTCTGCTAGTGAATGTAACAAAACCAATACTTGAATTAGGGCAGCTGCATGACAAAAGCTGAATGCTACGAGACTCTGCATGACAAAAGCTGAATGCTACAAGACTCGATGTTTATCAGGTACATCAATGCCGTCACAACTTGTGGAAACTTTGATCAGAGTTTACTCGCTAAATAAAAGGCATGGCCTTATGAAACGTATGATTAACTGGCTCAACTCTGCTAGTGAATGTAACAAAACCAATATTTGAATTATGGCAGCTGCATGACAAAAGCTGAATGCTACGAGACTCTGCATGACAAAAGCTGAATGCTACAAGACTCGATGTACATCAGGTACATCAATGCCGTCACAACTTGTGGAAACTTTGATCAGAGTTTACTCGCTAAATAAAAGGCATGGCCTTATGAAACGTATGATTAACTGGCTCAACTCTGCTAGTGAATGTAACAAAACCAATACTTGAATTAGGGCAGCTGCATGACAAAAGCTGAATGCTACGAGACTCTGCATGACAAAAGCTGAATGCTACAAGACTCGATGTACATCAGGTACATCAATGCCGTCACAACTTGTGGAAACTTTGATCAGAGTTTACTCGCTAAATAAAAGGCATAGCCTTATGAAACGTATGATTAACTGGCTCAACTCTGCTAGTGAATGTAACAAAACCAATACTTGAATTAGGGCAGCTGCATGGACAAAAGCTGAATGCTACGAGACTGCATGACAAAAGCTGAATG